ATTATTGTCACAATTGCATTTTTCTCTAACACTTGTGAAGGAAAATAATTTCTGATGTTTTAAAATTTATTTATATTATTTTAAAACCCCACATTTCTAGAAATAGCTTCGGAAATGAGCAAGACCAGTCTCCAGCTTATGTGGAGGGAGACTACATAGAGAGCAAGGGTGACCCAGAACCTGTTCCTTGGTGGGAGAGAGCATGCTTGGATTAGCAAAGTGTATATTTGGTACAGATGGTAGGCAGCTAGGACTCCAACATTTGGATGAAACTGGTTATCAAGAAACACTGGGAAATAACCTCCCCTGTTTGAAGAGAAGGGGAAGCTGGGGGTGTGTTTGTGTGTGGATCAAGTATCCTATTATAGCCAATGGGGTTATTAAGTTCCTCTGCTGTGAAAGGATCTTCTGGAGAATATGACTCCTGAGGGGCTCCAACTAGGTTGGGGGCTATGGCTTGGGAGAAAGATCCCTGGCTGTAACAACGAAGCGGGCAGGGGTGTGAGTCTGGTTGTATTAGGGCGGTGGCCCAGGGGCCGGGCAGAATTAGATTCTGGTTGTTGGGGCCGAGCGCTTCTCACCTTTTCTGGCCTTGTCTCCGGGGATGTTCTGGGCCCGGAGCCGCTGGTCCAGGATGTAAAGCATCTCCCCGCCCAAGTTCAAGAAGAGCAGCGGTAGCGTCCGCACCGACATGGTGTTAGGAGCGAGAAGGGCTGGTGAAGAGCCCCGGCCTTTAGCAGCCAGTGGCCTGGAGGCCCGGCCGCCGCGTCCCTATATCCTGGTTGCTAGGGCAACGCCGCGATGGGAAAGAGGAGCCAATCAGAAGGCGTTTTGGTGGACGGTCTCCTGAGGGAGGGCGTTCATTGGGTTGAGTGGTGGACCGCCCTGCGTGGATTAGGCAGAGTGGCGGCGGGCGCGAAGTTGTCCTTCGCGGAAGAGGGCTGGTTTTGTATTTAAAGCTTCCCGGGGAAGGGCGCGGGCTGGGCGGGCTCGGCACACAGCCTCGCACAGGCAACCCGTACCTGGGACGCAGGCGCCCTTCACCGCCTGGCTGCCAGGCGTGGGGTCTCGGGTACCCACGGAAGTGGGGAGCCCAAGCACAGCGTCCTCAGAGCAGGCTCAGGTCAGACCGACCTGGGGTAGAATCACGGCTCGGTATTTCCTAGTCGTGTGGCTCCAGGCAGGGTTTTTGAGCTCGGTTTTCTCTAATGTAAAATGGAGTTAACGCCCACCTCGCTGGACTGTTGGGAGGAATCAATGAGATCATGGAAAACACAGCCTCTTCCTCCCACCCACACAAGAAAGTCTTGCCTTGACAGAGGCCAAGCTTTTAATTCCTCCCTCCATCCCACATCCTCTCTAGTCTGTTTCCCTTCCTTCACAGTCAAGGTTTTTGAAAGAGTGCACTCAAAACGTGCATTTAACATCCTCGAGCCCCACCTCCCAGTAACTGGGATTGAGCTCCTTCCACCCCCCACCCCCCGAAAAGGCTTCGTCTTCAATACTTTTTTTTTTTTTTAGGAGACAGTTTCAACTCTGTCGCCCTCGGTAGGCTGCCGTGGTTTCACAGCTCACAACAACCTCCAACTACTGGACTTAGGCGATTCTCTTGCCTCAGCCTCCCAAGTAGCTAAGTACAGGCGCCCGCCACAATTCCCAACTATTTTTTGTTGCAGTTTGGCTGGGACAGGTTTCGAACCCGCCACCCTTGGTTTTGTGGGGCTGGTGCTCTACCCACTGAACCACAGGCGCCACCCCTTCGTGAATACTTTTTAGTTCTTTCAACTGACATCTCAGCACCAGGACTATAAAATAGTTGAATGCTGGCAGCTCAAGGCTTTCTTTGGTTATTTTGCCTGATCTGTGCATCATTTTAAAAGGAAATATATCTAGAATATGGCTTAGCAGCATTACCTTACGCCAGGTTTTAACCATTTGTTAACTGCCTGGCTCCTAAAAGCATTTGAGTTTGCTATGGGTAGGCTCTTCCCTTAGCTTCTCAGATCAGTTTTTGGTCCCTAGACTGTGTGGCATAGTGGACAGAATATGGGCTTGTGAGTTGAGACAGAAGTGGGTTTGAATCTGAGGCCTGTCTCTAACCAGCTGTATGAATTTGGACATGACACCTAAACTCAGCTTCACTTCTCTCATGGTAAAAATGAAGATAATTAGCTGATGTCGGGAATGAAGGTGGCGTTGAACATTAACGTTAACATGCCTAAGGCAGCATGTGCAGGTGCCCTCAAACTATGGCCACATGTGGCCCGCCAGGTGTTTTTGTGGCCACTGCCTGTCCTGCTTAGCAGCTGACTCAACTGGGCCCGCAGTCTGGCCTTCCAATGGTCTGAGGGACAGTGAGCTGGCCCCCTATTTAAAAAGTCTGAGGACCCCTGAAAGGAATGCTTTTCCTGAAGGGCCAGAACCATTAATGTGCACTCCTTTTTCTCACCTCCTACTAGCTCCCTAAATTTTGGCACCCGGCTCTCTAGCAAAACACCTCTAAATATAACAGCCCACTCCGAAGTTCTGCCCCATTAAAGGCCTTTCTACTATTCCTGGAGGCCACATCTGAACAGTTCATCTTCAGTCCTGAGCCTGTCTCACTTGTGTTTCTGCAGAATCCCAGGCTGTTTGTTCTACCCCCACTTCACCTTTCCTTCCACCTCGCTGCTCCCAGCGCTCAGGATAAGCCCTCAGGGATCGTCCTTCCCATTCAGACCTGGCCCTTTTTCCATCTACTGTCTCTAGCAATTTCATTCACACCCAGGGCTTTGGTCACCCTAACAATTCCCAGACCCCTCTACTGAGTCCTAGATCTATTTCCAGCTACTCTGTGCACAGCAATTTACAACACACCTTTTTTTGACTTTCCTCAGTGGCTTCTCTTCCCGGAATGACGTCTAAAGTCTTTTCGCTAGTGTTATGGACTGAATGTTTGTGTCCCCCCAGATTCATATCCCGCACCAGAAACTGATCAGCTGATCTCTTGATCTTGGACTTCCCAGCCTTCAGAACTACGAGAAAATAAATTTAAGCTACCTAGTTTATCTTTTCTTGTGACAGCCTGAGCAGAATAACCCCAGAAAGCTTTATATCACCTGGTTATCTGCCTATGCCTCTGACCTCATATCTTCCTACTCTTTGCTTATTTTTTTTTTTTTTTGAGACAAAGTTTCTCTTTGTCTCCTTCTATAGAGGGTTGTGACATCATAGCTTGCAGCAACTTCAAACTCTTGGGCTCAAGTGATTCTCTTGCCTCAGTCTCCCAGGTAGCTGGGGCTATAGGCACCTGCCACACCTAGCTATTTTTAGAGGTGGGGAGGTGTCACTCTTGCTCAGGCTTGTCTTGAACCTGTGAGCTCAGGCCGTGCCCCAACTTGGCTTCCTAGAGTGCCAGAATTATAGGAGTGAGCCACAGCGCCTGGCCTTGCTTATTGGTTTTAAATGTATTGTCCTTCTTGGGTTCTACAGACATACCAAGTACACTCAGGCTTCAAGGTCTTGGCACTTAACTTGCTGTAGATAGTTACGCTTTATGGGAAAGGGGGTATATAATCCCCCAGAATTTATAAGCAGGGCTTTGTGTATGTACAATTTCCTGGGGATAGGACTTGTAGGTTTTATGAGATTCCCAGTCTCAATACCAATACTCCCACCTCCCAAATAAAACTGCTCTGATCTTTCCCCTTCCCATCGCTCCTCCGCACAGCTGTTGCTTAACTATCTAAAACAGCTGCTGTTATCACTCTTTCAGTTTTAAAACTTGACCTGTATCTCCACTCTGCAGGATTATCTTCTCAGCATAGCAAGAATATAAAGCCTTTCATACCCCAGCTGCAGCTTATCTTTCAAGCTTTACTTCCCATCTCACTGCTCTCTGAACACAGCATGCAGGTCTAGACTTCTTTGCTTTTATACTTCCAATTCCTTCTGCCTGGGCTGCCTTTTCTCCTTATCTCTGCCCAGTGAATTCCTACTCATTCCTTAAAACCTAGTCCAGAGAAGGCAGCTGCTATGGCTGGTCTTCCCAGCCAGCCATCCTTCTGCTGTGCTGCCATGTGTCTCAGTCTGTCTCACCTCCATTGAATCACATACACCTGGATGATGGTTGCTATGAATGTGTGAGGTGTGTCATGAGTGTCCTACGGTGGGTAAGGGCATGGAATCTGCCTCTGCCAACACTGGGATCCCAGAGCTCAATGAAAGAATAAATTCCTTCTCTTCCTCAGGCCAAAAAGAGCCCTATCTTTCTTCCTATCATTCTGCAAGGAAGAAAGAAGAAAATAATTTTAACAGAATTTATTGGTTTTCTTTTCTTTTCTTTTTTTTTTGAGACAGAGCCTCAAGCTGTCCCCCTGGGTAGAGTGTCGTGGCATTACAGCTCACAGCAACCTCCAACTCCTGGGCTCAAGCGAGTCTCTTGCCTCTGCCTCCCAAGTAGCTGGGACCACAGGCGCCCACCACAACGCCCGGCTATTTTTTGGTTGCAGCCGTCATTGTTGTTTGGCGGGTCCGGGCTGATTCGAACCCGCCACCTTAGGTGTACATGGCTGGCGCCTTAGCCGGTTGAGCTATAGGCACCGAGCTGGTTTTCTTTTATTTTTGAGACAGAGTCTTGCTCTGTCACTTAAGAGTGCAGTGTCATGAGCATTGCTTTCTGCAGCCTTGAGCTCCTAGGTTCAAGTGATCCTCGTGGCTCAGCTTCCAAAATAGCTGGGACTATAGGTATGTGCCACCAAACTCTGCTAATAAAAAAAATGGGGGGGGGGTTTGGCGCCTGTGGCTCAAGGAGTGGGGCGTCGGCCCCATATACCGGAGGTGGTGAGTTCAAACCTGGCCCTGGGCAAAAACAAAAACAAAAACAAAAAGAAAAAATTTTTTTTTTTTTTGTAGAGATGGAATCTTGCTATTTGGCCAGGCTGGTCTCAAACTCCTGAGCCTCAAGTAACCCTCCTGCCTTAGTCTCCCAAGGTGCTAGGATTACATACATTGAGTCACTGCACCTGGCTCAGAATTTATTGGTTTTCTTTGAGTGCCTCTGGGAAGGGTAGAGGAGAGCTCTCTAGGTTCCTCTTGTCTTGTTTTTGAGCTGCCGCTTTTGCAGCTTTTAAGGCCCTTTTTTGTTTCTTCAGCTTTTGAGCCTCCTGGAAAACCTGGGGATGAGAAGGGGTAGGAAAAGACCTTGTAAAGCATGCAAAGCCTCAGACGCGGAGCAGGTGGGATAGGAACTATCTTTTCTGATGGTACCCCAGCCTTTTTTTTTAAGACAGAGTCTTACTATGTTGTCCTTGGTAGAGTGCCATGGCATCATAGCTCACAGCAACCTCAAACTCTTGGGCTTAAGCGATCTTCTTGCTTCAGCCTTCCAGTAGCTGGGACTTACAGGTGCCTGCCACAATACCTGGCTATTTTGTTGTTGTCGTCGTCATTATTGTTTAGCAGGCTCTGGCTGGGTTTGAACCCAACAGACTTGGTGCATGTGGCTGGCATCCTAACCACTGAACTATAGGCACCGAGCCTAACCCCAGCCTTTTTCTATGGAATTGGTGGGCTGTGGCCTCCCTGGGTCCACTCCAGGCCCTAGGGCCATTCCATGCCTCCCTTCTGTTCCTTTCATCACTTCCCATTGTAGGGCCAACCAAAGCAGCAATTCTGATTCGTACCCGAATGCACAGAGCCTTCTTGGTCAAGTATCGGCGATGGGCTCTTCGGTAATACAGAGGGGGAAAAGTGTACTCAATTCCCAGCTCCCTGCATGTCTTCTCGAAGACATCATAGTTGGTTTTACGGAGGTTTTTGAGCATCTTTTTTCTCTGGTCGATGCTCATCAGCAAATGGCGTTTGTGGGTTTTGTCCTGTAAGAGACTCTGTATTACTTTTGCTATTATTAAAATGTTACTATTGTTTATGGTAACTAAGGAGGGTCATTTCATCATTTCATTGAAATTTTGCAATTATCTTACGCAAAATTAGTACAATTCTGAGGGAGATGGTATTATTCCCATTTTACAGATGGGAAAATAAACGTTCAAAGATGTTATCTGACTCAAAAATGTCCTTAGAAGTGTGGGTGGTGAGGTTGGGCCTTGAATATGGGTCTACTGCTCTGATTCCAGATCTCATGCTTCTTTCACTTTACCCCCCTCCCTCAGTCTTTCCACAGCTTAGCAAACTATCAGCTGGGGTAGAGAGGAGGAAAGGCCTTGTGATCTTCCTGGAGACTTCCCCTTACAGCTGGGCATTGCCCTGTGAGGGACCTCTGCAGTGGGGCTGGTGTTCTACACTCCACCTGAACAAAACTGTGATAGCTCCAAGGAGCACTGAGGTGCCAGGGATGGTGCTGGACCAGTCTGTATTCCTAACTATATGTTCATTTTTTACTATTTTTTATAGAAAAAGGGGTCTCACTATGTTGCCCAGGCTGATCTTGAACTCCTGGGCTCAAGCAATCCTCCCACCTTGGCCTCCCAAAGTGTTGGAATTACAGGTGTCAGACACTGTGCCTGGCCCAGAACTATGTGTTTGTTAAAAAACCTGCAATTGTCTAATTACAGCAACTCTATCCTAGACACCGTGCAGAGACATGGCATGATGGTTGAGAATATGGGCCCTGGAACAAGATTCTCTCATTTCAATTCTTAGCACATCACCTCCCACTGGTGTGCCTTAAGGAGTAACTTAATCACTGTATGACTAGATTATTTCTCTGTACAATGAGAAAGACAGTATTTAGCCCAGGACCTACGGACTTTATATGCATCATGTTGGCTACTATGATTATTTCACCTAATCCTTGTAATCCTATTAGCATGTATTCTTATGATTCTTATCTTGTAGGTAAGAAAACTGAAGGTCAGCCCTGTAAAGTCACACAGCTGGTTAAGTAGAAGTGGCAGAGCTGGCATTTGAATTCAGGGCATTCTGACTCCATTCATGCATTCAATAAATATTTACTGAGCACCCAGTGTGTGCCAGACAGTAACCATGCTTAAAGTTTGTGTTCTTAACTACTGGTGATACTCAGCATAGCCTTGTAAAGCTCCCACTTCTTCTCTGGAGGCAGAAGAGAAGTGTTTTTCCCACTGTAGCTGAGGGTTGGGCAATTTGGTGATGTAGCCGCCTGACTTCTCAAGCTGCTTCTCCCGACCCAGATCCCTTCACCTTCCAGACTTCTCTCCTCTGGGGTGCTGTTGTTAATTCTGAATGATGTCCAGGGTTTACCTTTCGATGTTTCTGCATATGTTCTTCATAATTGCGTATCCTGACGGTCAAGGCAACAACTGAAACCACAAACCACAGAAGATGAGAGTTGGGCACAGAGGAAGGAAGGGCCCAGGCCTGGGTTATGTTTTAAGAACTCAAGGAATGACAACCACTACTGCTCCATACAGCTCTCATAAATCCCAATGCCCTCTGAATTTTGAGATCTCAAAAGACTTTGTATTATCTTTCCTTCAGAAAGCAAAGCCAATGAAGGGAAATTCCTTAATCTTATATCTTATAAAGGATATAGGATTGAATAGGATATCATCCAAAAATCATAGCAAATAGCCTTCTAAGTGGCAAAACTTTAGAGCATTCCCATTACATTCAGGAATGAGACTGGAATGCATGCTATTATGGTTAGTGATTCAATACTGTACTACTGATCCTAGCCAATGCAATAAGATTCCCAAACTGTAAAGGGATCTATTCCCTGCCTCTCCCCTTCCAGTTGCCACCCTTGTCTGTGCTTTTACTAATGAATTTCCAGAATTATCAGCTCCCACTTGTCTCCCAAGGCCCTGGAACATCCTTCCTTCAGGCATCCTCTCATTTGATTCCCACCTGTATTAACGCAGACACAGAAGCAGGCCTCAAAGAGGCTGTCATGACAAGAGGCCCTTCCTAATACACACTGAGTTCTGGAGTGCTGCAGAGCATGCCCCTGACGACATAGTCCCTTACGCCACCTTAGCTGCACAGTATAATGACATAGTGAGATGAAGTTTGCTTCCTGAGGGGTTTTCTAGAGCAGACATTATGCTAGAAGCATCTTGCTTCTAGCCATTTATTTATTCCTTTTCAGATACTTGTGCTTAAAGAGGACTCCTCTGGTGTTGATGTCTTGGCAAACAGGCCATCTGTTCTTGCCAACTGGGAAATTTCAGTAATGATAATGCAGAAACAGGTGTGGTGAGATAAGCAGCCCTTCTGTGGATGAGGACAGTCCCCAGGGAAGGGTTTCAGTGGGCCAAGGGAAGTGGAAACTTATTTTCTCAAATGGGGCTATGGAGGACCCATTTGAACCCCTTCAGACCATCTCTATGGGGGTTTAGGGTCCAAGATGAACTCACCAGACTTTAATACCAGACAGAGGGGGAAGAAAAGAATGAAGGCAGGGCAGTGGTGGAAGAGGAGGAGAAGGAGGTGGTGGCAAGGGGGAAAAATGTGCAGACCCCGTGCAGGTCCACTGGTCATCCTCACCCAAAGTAAGGGTGAAGTGGTGGGCTTTTCATTCACATCTATGAGGGCTACTGTGAGTTCCAGCTCAAAACCAAAGTAGGAACAGTATATATTCCCTTGGGAATGCTCCACAGTGTCTAACTATGAAGGTTACAACAGAGTGTGAGCTTTAGTTTCTAAAGTGTGTTTACCTCCTCCAGTTTCTCATGATCCTGCCGTGACGTAGATAACATTACCTCTGCCCTGCCCATTCCTAACCCCTCATTTCTGGACTTGGAAGCAGAGTCTCCAAGAGAGGACTAGGGACTTGCTTGAGCTCACACAGAGGCAGAAGACAGGACCTGGCCAATGGACCCAGTATCAGAGCTCAGCATCACTGTCTGAAGACAACTTTCATATCTCTCCTTTCCCAAGAAACCTCTGAGTATGCTGTAGAGGGGAGCCCCAGATCAGGTCCCAGCGAACAGATTCCCTTCCACCATCACTCCCCAAGGATTGCCAACCAACTTCGAGCCTCCAGAGATCTGGTGTCTTCAGGGTTTGCCACGACCTTTTTCATCAACTGTTCTTGCTTGATTTTTAGCATCTCCTTCTGTTGAAGGCAGAAATAGACAAAATCAGTGCAGTTTGCCACCCACTAATTGCTAGTCCTCCGACCATTGAGGCCATAACTACAGTTATAGCAAGAAGGCCCATAAGGCTCAGAGCCTGACTTTAATCACCATGGATGGCCTCAGCCAATCACACAGCTATTCATGTTTAGCTATTCAAGCCTACAGCCACTTTGGAGAAACGGCTTGTTGGAGTAATGTCCCCAAAGCTTGCTCGTTCTTTCATGTATCAGATGTTTATTGAGCACGTACTGTTTGTCAGGTGCTAGGGGTACAATGGGTGTGTGTCTGCCCTTAAATGCTCAGTCTGGGGGTGTTGATAAGGGGACCCAGAGTGAAAGTGGGCTAAGTGTTGTGACTTAGGAACACATTTCTATCCTAGAAGCTTAGGATAGAGAAGCTAACCAGGATAGGTGGAAATCCCAGAGGAGAGGACTGAGGAAGGCCGTGGCCCAAATTTGACACAGGCCACTCACCTTGTTGGCCATTTCCAAAGATAACAGTCTTTTCACGACATCATCAACACTGTGGAAAAATCACACCAATGAAAGATAGGTGTTGGGGAGGGAAGGGGAAGCAATGCTGTTTTCATTTTAGTTTAGAAAGCAAAGATGAAGGAAAATTCCATCTCTAGCAAATAAGTCTCTCTGGAGATGGGAAGTCATTTCCTGGGGATTAAATATCAGCATGGAGCTGGCTTGCTGGACTGAAAACTATAGAAATCTGGGGCTGTCAGCTCAAGTATTCTGGTCTCATCACAGGAAGGGCAAAGGGAGAATTTCCATTTTATTTATTTTTATTTTTTTTTAATTAAGTCATAGCTGTGTACATTAATGCAATCACAGGGTACAGTGTGGTGTTTTCATATAGAATTTCCATTTTAGCTAGAACATGGTTCAGTCTGCCTTGAGACGTTTCAAGTCAAACTGCACAATGGGAGGGACTGCCCAGCTCCTACCACACAGGATAGGAACTGAGCAGAAGGACCCTGGCTTTGTTGTCAGTCAGCACTGGATTCAAACCCTAGCTGGACTAGAATGCTCCTGTATGACACGGAGCAGCTTGATAATCTATAAAATGGGGACACTATTTCTTCTCTCATAAGGCTTTTTTTGAAGTTCAAAAGATGAGAGATAGAAGACTGAGAGATAATGTGTGTCAGTTGCTTGCTACCCCGTACTTACTGTATAGGGTCTTCACCCAGAGTACAAGAAAAAAAAGGAGTTGATAGTTACTCCCCGAATGCCATCTGCCCTTGCTGCCCATTCACCCTCACCATGCCTGGGCCTCTACAGCTCTCTGCCTCATTCTATAATCAAGTGTCAGATAAAACCAACCAAACCTCAAAGCCACCGTCTTTCCCCACTCCCTGCCATCCTCCCAGGGCTCCCTGACTCCTCAGGTAGGTTTCTTCTTGCTTACTTCTCAATTCCAGGGACATTCTGGTAGTCTTTGAGCAGTGTAGAAGGGGATGGGTCATCGTCTTGGCTGCGCTGGACTATTAAGCATAGGGATAAAAAACACCCAGAGTCAATTGTCAGTGCCCATCCTGCCAGATTTGGCTCTTCTCACCCCTCTCCAACTCTCTAAGAGACATTTAGGGTCTCAAGCAAGGCACAGTATCTCTGGGCTCCGTTTCTCCTGTGCAAACCCTGTGGATACCTGCCTTGATATTCACTCTGGGACCAAATGGCTTTTCTCAAGACCCTGTACTGTGGCTGCACCCCTTACATACCTGTCTAGCTCCATGGTTATCAGATCTCACACTAGGATTTGTCCTCCTACATTGTGGTCCATGGCCTAGACTAGGAAGGCACTTAACAAACATTTCTGGCTGTCTGCATGAATGAAGTAAGGGGGTTGAGAAGGGGCAGTTAGCTTTAGGATAACTGAAATATAACTATAAAGTAGAAAACCACAGGAAAACCTCAGTCTTGGTGTGTGCCTTCCCACTGTCCCTTGGAGGTAAGGGAGAGGCATGAGAGATAAACTTACTCTCTTCAGTTAAACCCTGCTCTGGGCTCGGCGCCTGTGGCTCAAGTGGCTAAGGCGCCAGCCACATACACCTAAGGTGGCGGGTTCGAATCCCCAGCCCGGGCCCGCCAAACAACAATGATGGCTGCAACCAAAAAATGGCCGGGCGTTGTGGCGGGTGCCTGTAGTCCCAGCTACTTGGGAGGCTGAGGCAGGAGACTCGCTTGAGCCCAGGAGTTGGAGGTTGCTGTGAGCATGATGCCATGGCACTCTACCCAGGGGGATAGCTTGAGGCTCTGTCTCAAAAAAACAAAAAAAAACCTGCTCTGCTGCTATGCAAATATTAATAGCAATATATATATATATATATATATATATTTTGTGACAAGAGTCTGACTTGGTCACCCTCAGTAGATTGCTGTGGCATCTTACCTCACAGCAACCTCAAACTCTTGGGCTCAAGTGATTGTCTTGCCTCAGCCTCCCAAGAAGCTGGGACTACAGATGCCTGCCACAATGCCTTACTCTTGCTCAGGATGGTCTCAAACTCCTGACCTCAAGCAATTCACTTTGCCTCAGCCTCTCAGAGTGCTAGGATTACAGGCATGAGCCACTGCGCCTGGCCAGCAATAAATATTAATACTAATATATACTATATCCAACTGAGCACAGTGCTAAGGATGCTTTTCATGTGTTATTACTGAATCCTAACAATCCTCTCAAAAGGACATTTTTACACTCATTTTAGAAATAAGGCTCCGAGAGAGGAAGTAACTTGCTCCATACCACTTACCTAATAAAAGGGATTTTAACCGCTATGCAAACTGACTTAGAATGGCAAACTCCAATCCTCCATGTCAGAATGGCAGACACAAAGTGCTATACTCCAATAAGGCCTGGGTGGTGCGAACCACACATTCCTTCTGGTTAGCTTATTTTCAATCACCGGGAAAGCTCCTGCTCCCTCCCTCTACTTTCCTTCCCCCAAGCAGGTTTCAGGGCTTTGTGTGAGGTGCACATGGAGGGTTTTCTGCTCAGGACCTCTGTCCCATTCCTTTTCCCACTTTTTAGCCACCAGCCTTCTCTCTTCAAGTCCCACCTTAGGAACTCCTACCTGGTTTCTGACTGGCGTGTCCACGGATGGCCTGGAGGAGGAGACCTAAGCAGAAAAGAGAGGGCAGGGCTGAGGCCCATGTCCTTAAATAGCGCACTCCCAGCTTCTTTTCTTTGCCCCTCGCATTACCCTTCCTCCGGGATCTATGTACTTCTGTGCCTAGCCGCTGACCCACATTGTGTTTCACATCTCTCACTTCTTTCCCTACCACCCTTTCTCCCTCCTTTCCTCCCTTTTTTTGATACGGGGGCAGAGTCTCGCTTTGTCGCCCTAGCTAGGGTGCAGCGGTGTCATCACAGATCACTGCAACCTCAAACTCCTGGTGGGCTCAAGGGATCTTTCTGGAACTACAGTCGCGGGACACCACTCCCAGCTGTTTCTGTATTTTTTGTACAGACTAGGTTGCTCAGGCTACTCTGGAACTCCAGGCCTCAAGCGATCTTCCCACCTCAGCCTCCCAGAGTGCTAGGATTACAGGCGTGAGCCACCATGCCGGGCCTCCTTTCCCCTTATCCTGCTGTACTCCTACCTGGTCCCCCACCGTGCTCAGTTCCTGCCGAACCCCATTTCCCTACCCCCGCCGTCCCATTTCCCAGCTCCTCACTTCGAGGCTGCAGGCCCCACTGGCTGAAAGGAAGCCTGGCGCTTTCTCTGCCCAGCAGCCCAAAGACTGGGACCTGAGTCACTGCCTGAGTCCGAATCGAACTCAGCGCCCTCCACGCGGTCCTCAGCATTGTGACTTTGACTCCCAACCCTGGGACTCGAGCCTCGACCGCTGTCTCTTTCGCGTACGGACAGTGTTACACGGGCGCCGCCATGCTGGCTCAGGCTCGACCAATCGAGGCAGTTGCGATCACGGAGCAGACGAGGACCGAGAGAATGGATTGGCGGGCGGGACTCTGAGAGGACGCGGCGGTTTGGGTTATCAGAAGTCTGGTTAGCTGCTGCGCAAGATCTGAGCGGGGTGGTTGTATGCCCTGTAGTTAGTGGTGTGCGGTGCTGTATTCATTCTAAAATGCCAGATTTTCTCGGGCTTAATTCCTCTGTATGTTCCTGGCTTCGGCCCGCGGTTATTTTGGGTCTTTCGTGCCCCCTCTACCCCCAGTATTTTCCTTCCCACCCCATCTTCTGCTGTAAGGATGGGGCCCTGTAAGAGCTATTGGGTTTCAGCCTTGTTTCTGGGACCTTGTAGGATGAAGACTAAGGTCGCTGATTTTGGAACCTGGGGCTGGAATTCTAACTCTGCTAGTCAACGTGTGATCTTGTGGGCAAGAAGTGACTTACCCTTTCTGGGCCCCAGTGTACTCATCTATCGGATGGGGATAGTAATAACTATCTGATTTTAGGTTGTTGAGAGATTTAACTGAAGCAGTTGTATATAAAGCCCCTGGTATATAGTAAGCATTGAATAAATATCAGCTGTGATATTATTTGTGAAATGAGGAGGTGTGTAGGGGCGACTACAAATTAAAGGCTGGAAAAATAATTTTTAATTCTCCCTGGTGCAAAAAGGGAAAAGACTCCTTCCCAAGTGTACTTTAGGAAACTTGTAGTTGTGAATTCATTTTCTATCGTTTTGAGATGAATGTAATTTTTTTTAAAAGCTAAATAAAACTCTTGCCAGTTTCACAACTCCAGAATGTTTTCCTCAAGGATCAGGGAGCCATCTCTTTGAAATGTAATAATTAAGGATGATGGTGCCCTATCACGTGATTTCTGTGGGAGTGTAGGAGCCTAACTTCAGCTGATACCTAGCTCCAAGTTGCAAACCTACCTCCTGTCCTAAAGATAAGAGAAATCTGTTTTTTCTTTGGATAAAGGCAATTAGCAAACACAGGTGAATTTATGATGAACTGTGTGTAACAAAGAGTGCTGTCAAGTCCTCTTACTTGAAGATGAATTATTGTTTATCTTGAGAAAATGTATGCAGCAAGTTGTATAAGCTTGGTTTTATAAAAGGGTCAGATTGGCCAGGCATGGTAGTTCATGCCTATAATCCTAGTACTTTGGGAGGCCGAGGCATTGGGATTGCCTGAGCTCAGGAGTTTGAGACCAGCCTGAGCCAGAGTGAAACCCTATCTCTACTAAAAATAGAAAAACTAGCTAGGCATCCTGTCATCCTTGCCTATAGTCCCATCTACTGGGGAGGCTGAGGCAAGAGATTGAGGTTGGCATGAGCTATAATGATGCCATGGCACTCTACCCAAGACAACAGAGTGAGACTCTGCCTCAGAAAAAAAAAAGGGGGTAAGATTTCTGTCTTTGTAATCTCTAGTGGATTGCCTGTGATGCATATCACATTCTCCCTTAATGCTTACTCAAAACTGTTTTCTTTCTTCCTTCTTTTCTACCCTTGTGGAGTTGGTTTTCTGGATTGGCAGGAGATTTTGTTTTAAATTATATTTCCATAATAGGGTCTTTTCTGAGGTCTCTTTATTATGTCCCACCATCCTCTGTGACTTCCTTCATGTAACCCTTGCCATTGTGCCCTAATTATCAGTTCTCAAGTTCTCACCACCCAAAATGGGAACTCTCTGAGGGTGGACTGAGCTGAGTCATTTTAAAATCTTTGCTTCCATCACAGGGCCTAGATCCTAGATGCTCAGTGAGAGCTGCTTGAATGAATAAGCAAAAGAACAATTCTGAGAAGTATCTGCCTGACTGCTAGGGCCCTGGAAAGAAAAAGAACAGAGACAAGAGTTTCTTACTTTTTTTTTTTTTAATAGACAAGAGTTTCTAAAAATAACAAAAAACTCAAACCAAAAATCAGTTTAAGAGACTTATAATTATAGGAAACAAGCACAAAAGGCCAGTGGGTGGTGCTGGACAGAGCATTGTTTAAGTCTTACAGTGTGCAGGTTGCCAGGGAGGCCCAGCCTATGTCCAAGTCCCGAGGGTACTGGGGATCAGAGGCAGGGAGAGACTGGACGCCTTTCTGTCTTTGCTAGGGCTGGCGTAGTTTTAGTGGTGGGCTTACTGACCCTCTCCTCTGGATAGTTCAGGCCTTTTAAGAGGCAGGCCTAGGTAGGGAGTCCTAGGAAGTCTTAGATGCCCCCTAGCCCCTCAACACCATGGACCCGGAGCCCCTGCAGGAGGGGAAAGTCAAGCAGCGGCCCAAAGACACAGTCATCCTCTTGGCTTGGGGGTGAGGGTACAGGGGACCTTAAGGGACTAGTCTGGAACCAGAGGTTCTCGTAGCACTTGGGGCTAGGGGTGAGGCCTCCCAAAAGGGGCTGAGTAGAGTCACAGCGGAGGTAGTGCCCTGGCCCTGGGCTTGTGGAGCTGCCCAGCACCTGCCCATAAAGGATCTGATCGCTTGTGCTGGAGTGGAACTGTGCCTGTGCTTTTGGGTCCCCTTGGAGCACATAGGTCTGGACTAGGGTGGGGAGGCCACAGGTTTCTGAGCTGTCACTGGATTCCCAGGGCCCTGGCTTCTTTTCTTCCTCTTTGAGCACCGTGATCTTGGTAATGGGTGACATGCCAGAGTCCCGAGGGCTGGGCAGTTGGAAGGTCTCCTGGACACAAGGACATGGTTCATTTCAGATATCTGCCCCAGCCACTGTCCCTTCCTGAATTGGGGTAGTTGTGGGCACATTCCTGCTTTTGTCTGTTGTAACACTTTGCAAAATACAGTATGTTCCTGACACATGCCTGGCACGTGTCACATGCCATTCAGACTCCGCCTAGTGAATCTAGGCATTGCTGGGATTCAGGCCTGAGTCTGCTTTGTTCCACTTGGTGGAAGTGATGTGAAGGTGTGAGTGCTTGTGCTTATCCTTGAAGGGTATCCTTTCCCTTTGATAGGCTGATACCCCATGCCTGGCACGTGTCACATGCCATTCAGACTCCGCCTAGTGAATCTAGGCATTGCTGGGATTCAGGCCTGAGTCTGCTTTGTTCCACTTGGTGGAAGTGATGTGAAGGTGTGAGTGCTTGTGCTTATCCTTGAAGGGTATCCTTTCCCTTTGATAGACTGATACCCCAGGCTCATTTCTGTCTCCCACCAGGATCCTCACCTCCTCCATGATGGTGGGCACCCAGGAGCCCAGGCTGCTGTGGGCTGGGTCAGGGACACTTGGCCAGAGAGGATTCTTTCTGCTGGAGAAGAGGGCAGGTGGAGGCTGGGTCATGCATACCCTCCCATCTTCCCGTCCTTTGTCTCACTCACCCCAGCAGCTGAAGAGGAACAGCTGGCCCTTAGTGCAGAGAGAAGAAGGTGGAGGGCTGGGACTCACAGACCTGAGCCCCAAACCAAGGTCTGAGAAGGCTGGAAGTGATGTAGATGGACCCACTTGGGCCCCTAGTTCCTGTGGATCGGGCTGGCTGGGTGTCAGATCTCTTTAAAGGACTCACCTGCGGCTGCAGCAGAGCCAGGCAATCCCACAGAGGCAGATGATCAAGAGCAGGAGAGTGAACAGGCCCAGGAGGATGTGTAGCTCAGAGCCCTCTGGGTTGAGGGAAGAGCCAGAAGTGGTTCGAGTGCTTGTAAAGAGGGCTGGGTCCCTCCTTCAGTCTGGGGCCTAAGGGAAGGGGGAGACTGGGGGTCCCTCCCTCCCTCAACCTGGGGAGGGGGCACGGCAGGGTCCCTCCCTCAGCCTGGGATCCATAGGCAAGGTACCCTCCCAACAGTCATCTCTGCTGAACCCCCCTCACCCTTACCTAGGGCCAAAGTCATCAGGGTGAGGCCTGTACCATTGATGGCCCCCCACTTGCTGGCAGCCATGAGGTGGACGTGATACAAACTGGCGGGCTCCAGGTCACGGAGGATGAAGCCGTAGGAGGAGGCATTCAGGATAGTGGCTGGGAGCAGGGGCATATAGTTACAGTCTCTTTCTGGCTGCTAAGCACCCTCCCTGGGCGCTGGGGCTGGGGGGAGCTGAGGATAGACTCACAGAAGGACTGGTTCTGAGCATTGGTCCAGAAGATGGTGTAGTGGGTAAGGGGGCTCTTCCCCAGCTCAGGGGCGCTGGGCACCCACTCCAGTTGCGCCCAGGTCTTCCCAATGTGTTTTAGATGCAGCTCTGGAGCATGGGATGGGGCTGCAGGAAAAGAGAGGTGCAGGGGCTGTGTGGAGCCTGACTGGACTCCTTGTGGCTACCCAGACACACTGTGGGGTAGGCAAGAAAAGAGAGTCCAAGGGGTCCCTGTCCAAACCTCATTTTCCCAGGGATTTAATCTGCATTCCACCTCTTGCTAGGAAGCAGCTGAGCCAGGATTTGAACCTGGTGCTGTTTGACTCTAAAGCCTCACTCCCTGATTTCTACCAGACATGGTTTTGTCTGACTCACTGCCTGATTTCTGCCACTCACTCTCTGAATTTATGCCAGATCTGCCCAATTTTTATCACTCCTGGCACCTTATTTTGGTGAGGGCAATTGATTGGTGTTTGCCAGATTTATTCCCTGAATTCTGCCAAACCCATTGCCCAGTATCTATCGCCACACCACCTGGTTTCTATTCAGCTGCAGGGTCCAATGTAAACAAGGAATCTTAGGATTTGGAAAGACCCTCTGCAGGGCCAGAAGTATAGGAAGGGGGACATGTTCCCCCATATTCCTCATTGCTGGGGGCCAGGCAGCCTTGGGAGAGAGAGGAGAGGGTTCTAAAAAGAGGTGTGGTGGCTAACAAACCCATCTCTTGGGAGTAGGCATAGATGTGCTGGGAGAGTCCCATGGCGTCCGGATATAGGGGAGTCACTGCAATCTCATAGAGCTGAAAGGGCCTGATGTTTTCTGTAGGGAGGAAATGGGGTAGGGGCTCAGTTGGGGCTCACTTCTGCTGATTAGGAGCCTGCCTTTGATCTCTAGTCTGGGTTACCCTCTGCAATCTCTTCTTTAGATCATTTGATAGGGGTTAGGGAAGAAAAGTGGAAGAGAGAGCTAGAAAGGTGGCAAGGTTAGGGCTACAGAGAGGATCAGGTTAGACTGTAGGAAGAACTTCCTGATGGTTGGGAATGAGAAATGGGAACAGTGAAAAATCAGGAAAGGCCAGGCAATCAGCTTCTCTAGGGCATCCTGCTTGCCTCTTGCCTACTGTCAGACAGGTACCACCCCCCCCTCTCCCTAGCCTTGCCCAACTGCCTGGCCCTCCAAGCTGGCCTCACCCTTCAGTAGAGTCCCTGTGACGCTCCCATTATGCTCCATCCTCCAGGTTTTGTTCCTGATGCTGGGTTTGGGGGGACTCAGGTCCCACTCGATCACATAGCCCTGAGGCTCTGGGTTGGGGCACTCCCAACCCACCCAGAGGCTGTGAGGGTCTCGGGCCGTGGCAGAGAGTCTGGTCAGGGCTGGGCCTGGAGACAGAGTGAGAAACAGTGGAATGAAGGTGGAAAGAGGGCAGGTCCTGGAGCCAGAAGCCTGGGTTCAGTTATATGCCCTGGCTTTGCTACTTACAGCCTGGGTGACCTTGGGTAGGTCAACATCTGAGCCTCAGTTTCCTCATCTGTAAAGTGGAAATGATGATAAAAGTTCCCACCTCATGGGGTCATGGTGCAGATTAAATGAGTTGATGAACAGAACAAGCCTGGCTTAGTGTAGGCTTTGATAATGATACTAACATCATGTAGTTCTTGATATGTGCCACACCTAGTCCCTGAAGTATGGTAATTCATCGAGTCCTCTGTCACACCCCAGAGGTAGTAGTGTTGTCTCCATTTTATCAATGAGAAAACTGAGAGATACAGAGAGGTTGAGTCACTTTTCTAAGGTCATACAGCTAGTAGTGGGAATATTAGCTATTATAATTGTTATTGTGATTATTAGTGTCACCTTGTGAGGATCCGTGTTTAGGGGAAACTGGGGGTGGTGGTGGTGGCTGCTGATCCCCTAAGAATGAACAATTATGAGCCATGTTCCCCCTGGAAAAGCTTAGGGCTTTCTCTTTTAGCTTCCTTGGCAGAATGGACTGTGGTATGTATGTGTGTGTATAGATACCATCAGCAGATTAACCTGGTTCTAGCTAATGATACTAGTAGCAGTTAACCTGTACTGAGCAGTTACTTCATGCCAGCCTCTTGTATTTACTCATGTGGTCATCACGATGACCTTCAGTAGGTGGTGTTATTATCCCCATTTACTGGATGTGTAAACAGAGGCCAGGGAGGGGAAGTAACTTGCCCGGGACACATTGTTAGCAAGTCATAGGACTAGATTTGAACCCAGGCAGTCTAGCCTCTGAATTTACATGCTTAACTACTGTGCTCTTCTGGCTGCCAGTCCCCTTACCTCTCTTTTTTTTTTTTTTTTTTTTTTTTGAGACAGAGCCTCAAGCTGTCCCCCTGGGTATAGTGCTATGGCTTCACAGCTCACAGCAACCTCCAACTCCTGGGCTCAAGCGAGTCTCCTGCCTCCGCCTCCCAAGTAGCTGGGACCACAGGCGCCCGCCACAACGCCCGGCTATTTTTTGGTTGCAGCCGTCATTGTTGTTTGGCGGGTCCGGGCTGGGGACTTGAACCCGCCACCTTAGGTGTATGTGGCTGGCGTCCTAGCCGGTTGAGCTATAGGCGCCGAGCCCCCCTTACCTCTCTTGTCAGAGAAGACCACTGGAGTGGGAGGAGAGGCCCCAGCTGAGTTATAGGCCACAAGGGCCACCTCTTGGGCATCCAAAGGCAGGCGGAAGGTGCAGCCTAACGCTGTGGTGTTGCAGAGGGGCAGGGCTTCCTCAGCCTGGCCCGAGGGTCTCCAGGAGACCAGGTACCCTTGGATCTGCCCATTGTTTTTCTCCAGGGGCACTGGCTATGGCAGGCATAGGAGGGAAAAGAGAAAGGGATGTACAGCTCATCTTGACTAGGGGGAGGTCCTCTAGGTGGATGGATCATGGGAATGGAATTGCCCCAAGCTGGGAGCCAGGCTTCTCCCCTCCCCCTCCCTCTGCTTTCCCTCTGTCCCTTGTGCTGGTTCCAGGGGGAAGGGCAGGGAGAGAGAAGTTAGTGTACACAGCAACCACTTAACTATTCACTGAACTGATCTGACTTAGGCACACCCAAAGTGCATGCAAATCACATATAAAAGTGTTCAAGCTTCTCAGACCTGGTGGAGTCTGAGCCCTGGCTTGCAAGGGTCTATGTGGGTTGAAGGAGTTCTCTGGGGTGAAGGAATGGCCTTCAGAGGGAGTCACCTTCCAGAACAGTTGCACATCCACTGTCCTGTTGTCTAACAGCCTCTGCCGTGACCACGTGTACAGCCTGACCTTGAGGGCTGTGGATGGAGGGAGAGGAGAGATTGCCAGTCAAGGAGTTCCCAGAGCCTAGGCCAGGCGCTAGTGGCTGCTCCCGGCCCCTCATCACCCACTTACTGCCTTCGGCAGTTCTCAGCTTGAGTCCGGGACTCCAGTTGCTCCAGTGGCCAGGCAGGGGCCAGCGGATGCAGCGCATCTGCAGCGTGTAGACTGTGGCTGGGAGGAGCCCGCAGAGCTCATACTGAAGGGTCTCAGTGGGCAGCGCGCCCTCCTGGTGGGGAGGCACAACTCTGGGTCTGGGTCTCTGGGCTTTTCCAGGGCCACCTCCAACCCAACTCACCCTCCCCTCAACCATTCCCTTTCAGGCTTCTGCGGTTGCCCTCCACCTCACCAGTGTCCAGCTGGCGTCTCCGGGCTGTGGCTGGTAGCGCAGCTCACACTTCTGACTTATGTGCAGACTGGGCTTCCAAGGTTCCCAGTGCACCCACAGGCAGCCTGGCTGGGGTGACGCCGCCTCAGGGCTGGGCTCCTCAACCCACAGTATGGGGGGCTCCAGTTTCACTGCAAGCAGTGGGCTTGTTAGAACCTCCCCTGCTCCACCCTATAGAGCTCTGCCTTAGCTCCCTCTTGTCTCCCTGCCTGCAATTCTGTTTTCTTCCCTGGGCCTCCATCCATGCGGTCTCTCTTTCTCTCTGCCTCTGTCTCTTCCTCCTTCCCCCCCTTCCCTCCACTCTTTCTCTTTTTATCTCTGACTATGCCCCCATGGACATGTTTCTGTGAATGTGTGGTTTGCTCCCTCATTTTCCCCAAAGATCTTTTTAATGGTCAACTTCTAATGAGGCCAACCTGACCAATTTGTTGAAATAAGAACTGTTAGCTGGGCACTGTGGCTCACACCTGTAATCCCAGCACTCTGGGAGGCTGAGGCAGGTGGATTGCTTGAGCTCAGGAGTTCAAGATCAGCCTGAGTCAGTGCCAGACCTCATCTCTAAGAATAGTGGGGCATTATGGTTGGCACCTATAGTCCCAGCTACTTGGGAGGCTGAGAGACGAGAATCACCTATGCCCAAGAGTTTGAGGTTGCTATGAGCTATGATCCCAAGGCATTCTACCGAGGATGACAAAGTGAGACTCTGTCTCAAAAAAAAAAAAAAAAAAAAGAAAGAAAGAAAGAAAGAAAGAAATAAGAACCATCTCCCACCCCATCTTTTCTGAGGGCAGGATTTTTTTTTTGAGATGGAGTCTCAAGCTGTCACCCTGGGTAGAGTGCTGTGCTGTCACAGCTCACAGCAACCTCCAACTCCTGGGCTTAAGCAATTCTTTTGCCTCAGCCTCCCAAGTAGTTAGGACTATAGGCGCCTGTGACAATGCCCAGCTATTTTTTGGTTGTAGTTGTCATTGTTGTTTAGCAGGCCTGGGCTGGATTCGAACCTGTCAGCTCTGGTGTATGTGGCTGGCGCCCTAGCTGCTTGAGCTACAGGCGCTGAGCCTGAGAGTAGGATTTTTTAAAAAATTCAGAATATTACAGGAGTGCACATGTTTTGGCTACATAATTTGCTTTTGTACATTTTAAGTCAAAGTTCCAAGTGTGCAAGGGCAGGATTTTTGATGTTGTGCTGTGTCTCCAATACCTAGAACAGCACCTAGGACACAGGGGGCACTTCAAGAAATTTGCCACATATGAATTCATTCATATTTGAATGAATATGTCTCCTTGCCTGTGTCTCTTCTGTGTCTCTAGGTCTGTGTTCCTATTCCTCTGTCTCTGGCCACATCCGTCTTTGTCCCTCTCTCTCTTCTTTACTCGTACCAGTGCAGTCTTCCCAGTGTCTCATTGTCAGTTGCTGGGCCTATATTCCCCCCCATCTTTCTCAAGGACTGCCCATTTGGGGGTTCTCTTTCCTCCCCCACACCCAGCATCACCAACCAACATCCATGGGATTAAGGCACAGCTGTGGGGACATGCTGGTCCCCAGTGCATTCTCTGCCTGAACCCAGATGCCCGTATTCTGGTACAAGAGCAGGTGTTTGCGTGGGATGGAGCAGTGGCTCTGCCTGTCCTTGGCTATGCAGTCCGGGATGGAGTCCTCTTGGGTCTGACAGCTGCCCCGGCTCCTGTCAATGGGGCAGGCTTGGGTGCCAAGCAGAGGAAGAAGGCAAAGCTCCCTTTCCCTCCCCTCTTTGTCTCTGGCTCCCCTTATCCCTGTAGTCCTATCCATGCCCCAACTGAGGGCCCAAAGGAGGGGGGCTGGAGCAGGGCCCCCACTCACTTGAAACTCTTTAGGGTGAAGTTGGTAGGCAGGTGGGTGTCAGGTCCTGGTTCCCACTGGCAGGTGAGGTTGTAGGTTGTGAGATTCATGATGCAGGAGAGGTTGCTGGGTATGGCGGGGGGGTCTGCACATGGGATAGAAATAATGTGAGCACTTTGGGAGGGGCCACTCTAAAAGGCCCCACTGGGACGAGTTGGCCTTGTTTCCTTGTCCTGTGGGGGTCCCTCTGGGGTTACCATGTCCATCCTCCTGCTTACCACAACATCTAATTTTTCTGTTAGTAGAAACGGTCTCCCTTTTCCTTGGGCTGGTCTCAAACTCCTGAGCTCAAGGGCTCCTCTTGCTTTGACTTACAGTGCTGGGATTATAGGTATGAGCCATCATACTCAGCCTATTATTGCTTCAAACAAACAAGAAACTTGGTCTTTGGCTCAGTGCCTATAGCTCAGTGGGTAGGGCACCAGCTACATACACAGAGGTAGGCAGGTTCAAACCCCGCCTGGGCCTGCTAAAACAATGACAACAATAACAAAAATAGCTTGGCGTTGTGGCAGCTGTCTGTAGTCCCAGCTACTTGGGATGCTGAGGCAAGAGAATCACTTAAGCCCAAGAGTTTGAGGTTGCTGTGAGCTGTGATGTTGCAGCACTCTACCGAGAGTGACAGAGTGAGACTGTCT